GTGAGCAAGCCATGCACGCTACGTTCCTTCAGATCCTAATCCAGTGCTTCCGGTCATTTAGTGCTCAGTTTACAGCTTCAGATAAAAAAACTGTCTGGCCCAACACAGCAAAAAAATGCATGCTGCCAGTGAACTGTGGAAACCCAAAATGCTGGAATAAGGAAGTAGTAGCACCTTGGAGTGCGTGATAATGTGCCTGTGGCGAATCGACCATTTCAATTGAATCCAAGACAACACCGGCGGCGCCATCGCCGCCGCCGCACTGGTTCAGATCATTTAACGATGTTGCTAGCGTTGCTGCTGCTACCGCTGCATCGTCAATTAGATCTTCTACAACAACACATCAGGGACTTAAGCGACAGCGACAGAAGCATTGCAGCACATGCAAATTTTTAGAAGCGAATCCTCAACGAATCCAATTTACCACTTAAAATTAATATACTGTACTGGGAATTCAAATATGAAATATCGTACTCCTTCGTTTTCTCTTCCCTTTCACAAAAAGCTGTAAGCTTCCGACGAAGCGAAACAACGCTGTATCAAAGAAACCATGCCATTTGACAATGCTTAAACACAGTCAGCTCGAGTTTTTGACATCTGTGGGCAACAAGCAATTACGTCCCTGGTCAATATTGAAGGTCTGGATGCGAAGCCACCGCATTAACAAAGGAAGGAAAACGATCGCTCACATAAGCCTCAAAGAAATGGCGCGTGCACTGGACAGAAAAAGCGGTAAGCACATGCAGAGAGAATCCAGAGGGAGAAGGTTCTGGCTTTATTTCAGTTCGTAAATTTTTAGCTTTCAGATATGGAGTCTAAACAATTTGAAATATTAAGGAATGAAATGAGTGAAACGTTAGGAAGGAAAGTTTGAAAAATTTGTCTGTAAAGTGAGTGGAGAATTTTCCTTCATGTCTGTTTGGTCAAGAAATAAAAGAAGTGAACATTTAGTAAACCGATTTCTCGCGATAAGAGGAACTACACTAGAGGAAGCTAAAACGACCAGTCCTAGCCTACCCCATCGCCGAGCAAAGGAAAAGTTAAAATTTTAGATCCGTGGCTGAATCCAGTCGGGCTGCAATCATCAGGCAAGGGCAATTCCTGCGGTAGAATTATCATTCTCGAAATGCGTGTTACCACGAAGAAATAGCTGAACTAAGCATTCCGGCGATTCCTTTCTGGACCTAATACTCCTCTCTTTCCTTCATAATTTAAAGAAGCATTGCTTGCCTGATTCTGAATTCGATGCATTTATCCGCATTTAGGATGAAAATACGAATAAACGCGTCGGATTCACAAACACTGAAGGTAAACCGCATTACATGGACAAACAGCCCTATGGACTTTTCGCATTTTGCTGAAAGCAGAAAGACAGGCAAGCACGGAGCATCTAAAGCAACACCGCAAAGCTTCAAAGCCAGTACAACAGTTATAAAACAAACAGAAAATTCAGGACACGTGGAAGCATAGCGAAAAAAGGTACCAGGCTCACGCAACTGCTGCCCATTCATGTGATTAATCCACAGATCCGGTGGTCCCTTGCCATTCCCTGCTTGCTTCCTTCCACGCATATACCCTGAAGCAGCCGCTTTCTTGCTGTTCTTCGATCTGATATACCAGATCAGCGAGATTAGTAAAATCAGCAGCAAGACAGCAACAGTGGTCATGATCCCTAAATAAACTGGGGTGAGGGGGAATGCTGGCCGAGCAGGATCCGCATTCGCATCGATAGCCTGAAATGAAAATTACACAATTATTATTATCCACTACTTCCTATATACAGTAAAAGAACAAATCGCAGCGGTCGCTAATGCTCTCTCAAGTCCTAATAAAATCAATTTATTCATCGTTAGTAAAATTCATAAAAAAAAAGGAAATTTTTGCAAATCGAATCAGAGCTAATTTGTTTTGGCGAAGACAAACCATCTAAACCTGAAAAGGGCACTCGAACCCCCCATGAACAGTAAAAATTCTTTAGAGCTTCTATTCCCCCGAAAACAGGAATTTCTTCCTTTAGAAAAGACACAAATAACTACAGTTATTATCTATTTTGAAAAAAAAAATACATTTTAACAAATGCATAGCAGTTCAC